GTGTCCCCAGGGTGTCCCCAAGCCCCCTACAGTGTCCCCAGGATGTCCCCAAGTCCCCTGGGGTGTCCCCAAGCCCCCTACAGTGTCCCCAGGATGTCCCAAAGTCCCCCTGAGATGTCCCCACGGTGTCCCCAAGCCCCCCCTGTGTCCCAACAGGCACTTCCCCCACCACTACAGCCTGTGCCCGGTGCTGGGGTGTCCCCACGTCCCCCCGATGTCCCCCCAAACCCCCTTTCCATGTCCCACAGGCACTTCCCCCACCACTACTACAGCCTTTCCTGGTATTGGGGTGTCCCCAAGCCCCCATGTCCCACAGACACTTTCCCCACCACTTCTACAGCCCGTGCCCAGTGCTGGGGTGTCCCCAGGGTGTCCCCACGTCCCCCCAGGGTGTCCCCAAGCCTCCATGTCCCACAGACACTTCCCCCACCACCACTACAGCCCATGCCCGGTGCTGGGGTGTCCCCAGGGTGTCCCCAAGCCCCCATGTCCCAAAGACACTTCTCCCACCACTACTACAGCCCGTGCCTGGTACTGGGGTGTCCCAAATTCTCCCTGGGGTGTCCCCAGGGTGTCCCCACGTCCCCCCAATGTGTCCCCAAGCCCCCATGTCCCACAGACACTTCCCCCACCACCATTACAGCTCGTGCCCAGTGCTGGGGTGTCCCCATGTCCCCCCGATGTGTCCCCAAACCCCCTTTTCCATGTCCCCCAGGCACTTCCCCCATCACTACTACAGCCTTTCCTGGTACTGGGGTGTCCCCAGGTCCCCCCGATGTGTCCCCAAACCCCTTTCCATGTCCCACAGGCGCTTCCCCCACCACTACTACAGTCTGTGCCCGGTACTGGGGTGTCCCCATGGTGTCCCCAAACCCTCATATCCCACAGACACTTCTCCCACACTTCTCCCACTGCTTTGACAGCCTGTGCCCAGTGCTGGGGTGTCCCCACATCCCCCCGATGTCCCCCCAAACCCCTTTCCATGTCCCACAGGCACTTCCCCCACCACTACTACAGCCTTTCCTGGTATTGGGGTGTCCCCATGTCCCCCCAATGTCCCCCTGATGTGTCCCCAAACCCCTTTTCCATGTCCCCCAGGCACTTCTCCCACCACCACTACAGCCCGTGCCCGGTACTGGGGTGTCCCAAAGTCTCCCTGGGGTGTCCCCACAGTGTCCCCAGGCCCCCATGTCCCCAAGACACTTCTCCCACTGCTTTGACAGCCTGTGCCCAGTGCTGGGGTGTCCCCACATCCCCCCGATGTCCCCCCAAACCCCTTTCCATGTCCCACAGGCACTTCCCCCACCACTACTACAGCCTTTCCTGGTATTGGGGTGTCCCCATGTCCCCCCAATGTCCCCCTGATGTGTCCCCAAACCCCTTTTCCATGTCCCCCAGGCACTTCTCCCACCACCACTACAGCCCGTGCCCGGTACTGGGGTGTCCCAAAGTCTCCCTGGGGTGTCCCCACAGTGTCCCCAAGCCCCCATGTCCCCAAGACACTTCTCCCACTGCTTTGACAGCCTGTGCCCAGTGCTGGGGTGTCCCCACATCCCCCCGATGTCCCCCCAAACCCCTTTCCATGTCCCACAGGCACTTCCCCCACCACTACTACAGCCTTTCCTGGTATTGGGGTGTCCCCATGTCCCCCCAATGTCCCCCTGATGTGTCCCCAAACCCCTTTTCCATGTCCCACAGGCACTTCCCCCACCACTACTACAGCCTTCGCCTCTCCCTGCCGGGCACCAATGCCACTGCCCGCCTGCTGGTGCTGGACACGGTGCTGCTCTGCGGCGGCGGGGACGATTTCGGGGTGGGGGGAGCCCCTAAGGGTCCCCGGGACGCCGTGGCGGCGGCGGCACAGCTGGCCTGGCTACGGGACCGGTTGGCGGCCGCTCGGCACGACCGGTACGTGCTGGTGGCCGGGCACTACCCGGTGTGGTCGGTGGCCGAGCACGGACCCACCGCCTGCCTGGTGCGGCTGCTGCGGCCGCTGCTGCGGCGTCACCACGTCACCGCCTACCTCTGCGGCCACGACCACAACCTGCAGGTGAGTCCCTGTGACCCCCCCCGAC